CGCTAGTACACGGTCAACCGCCAGGCCAAGAGCAGGGGGCCCCAAGTCAGTGAGGGTGCTCAAGGTCTTATTGTCAGGCCGTTGGCTTCTTCCAAAATACATAAGTTGACCCAGAGCAGCCGTAAAGTGGGAAAAGGATGAACCCCAAGACCAAGAATCCTTTCGGCCGTATCGTGACAGCGGGTGAATAATCCTGACTTACGATACGAAAATTAAGCTTATCTGGAAGGACTTCACCTTCATTTTCGTATCAAGGAATTCCTGTTCCAAGATCCATCGTTCCTCTCCACCCGCCCCAGATCCAAGAAGGGGCCCAAGGAATCCCAGGCGAGCCACTGTGCCCCATCGGTTAACCCTTGATTTGTGGCTCGCCAAGGAATGAAGATAAGAGAGGAAAAAGACAAAGATAAGAGACAGCAACCACATGAATTTTACCTTTACAATAAAATTCATGAAGGTTACAGCCGCACACCAAGCCTTTAATTTATGAAGTAAAAGATATTATTTAAATTAAAGGCTTGCCCACGTTCACCCATCTTTTAATTTACTGCAATTCTCTTATTAATTAAAAGATGGACTCACCCTTAGCAAAAATAATTCTGTTTTACTTATTTTTGCTTACTTATTCATTCATTTGAATTTCTTCATTACAATTTATATCTAATAAATTTAATGATAAAGAAATTCAATGTTAAGTAATAATAAGTCTTATAAATCAATGACTCGCCATTTTAATTTTATATTATGGCGAGGGCCAATGGCTAGCATATAATATCTCTTATATCTCTATATCTCTTATATCTTTCATTTATATTAATTATATCTTTGTAAAAGCCATTGGCTATAATAAATAATAAATAAATATGGGGAGGAATATGAATAGACTACCAACCGCAAAAAATCTTACACTTGGATTTTTTATTGTGTTAACAGGAATTTTCATTAAGAAAATTCACCATGTAATTAAATGATGGACCAAAATATTCTTGAAATCTCTTAATATATTTTGGTCCTATAGGCAGAATTTTATAATATGTGTCTTTCTTTTCAATAAAATTCTGCCATGAATAATAAAAAATGAATGACTGACCATTAATTTTAACCTCATAAAATTAATGGGAAGGAATGAATAAATGAATAACACATATATGCCCTCGTTTCATTATTCACAGATTAACCGTGTAAACGAGGGCAGGGATTTCTTGTCATTCATTTTTTATTAAAAGATCTTTGGCATGCAAAAAAAGAGGAGGAAAAAATGAATGACAAATAGAAATCCAATAAGTGAATATTAATATTTGTTATTCATTTATATATTATTCTTTGCCACCTTAAAATTATCGGTGGCTTATGTTATTACATGGAGAATTCATGAGAAAGAACATATTATTAATGAATTCTCCATAAACTATTATTATTACTTCTATTATGGCAAAATGCTATGTAATTATAAGAAATCTATATTTTGTAATAAGCATTTTGCCATTATATATTTATCTTTTTATCTATATCTTTAGGGAATTTTCATTATAAGTAAAAGAAGTTAATAATATAGAAAATTCCCTTATAATTAATAAAGATATAAATATATATTGCCATTTATTTATAAATTAGAAGATACCAAATACATGAATAAATAAATGGCATTAAACATAAGAAATTACTGCCCCATTTTCTATTAAAAGATATATGAGAATTATTAAAATGGGGCATTAATATCTTATATCTTTTATTATCTTTCTATTCGCCCTTTTAAATCTCTTTATGGGCGAGACAATGGTTTATTATTATTTGCCATTTCCTTTTATCTTTAGAATACAGAGATTTTTACAGGAGCAAAGAAATGGCAATATAATATAGATAATAAGTTATAATAATAATATGGATTAATGATTGCCTTTATTATTTTGGTCCACTTTCTAATTAGCTTTTGGGGTGTTCCAGGAGTTATAAAAATAATAAAGGCAATATGAAATATAAAGAGAATAAATAATATAAGAGAGATAATTAACAATAAATATTATAATGTAGGAGCTAGCCGATAGCTTGGGTGCATAATTAAATTAAAGCACCCATCATTGTCATATAAGTATTATAAGATTATATTTACCCATCTATTTTTATATAAAAGGAAAGGATAAAATAAAAATAGATGGTGTGGATGAATTTTATAGCTCTTGTATTTTACTCTTATAAAATTCATCCATAATATAAATAATAATATATATATTGCATTTTGCTATAGTTCATATATCTTTTAATGCAAAATGCAATGATAAATTAATAAGAAGATAATGAAAAATCCATGAATAAAGAGTGAATTATATTATAATGGATTTTTCATTCACTTACAGCCATTTATTTTTCCAATATCTTATATGAATAAATGGCTGATATAATTTATTGATATTATCTTCTTATTAATATTATAGGGGCAACCCACTTTAAATGAAATATCTCTTAATTTGTGGGTTGCCATATGATCAATAAATATTAATAAGAAGGACAGAGTGAACCACCAATTGGAATTTATTTTACATTGAAATTACTTTAATAAATAAATTCCAATAGGATAAGAGAATAATACCAATGAATTTTATATGAAATAGAAATAACTTATTAATAAAATTCATTGGTAAGTTCATACGCTGGGATCAATCGCCAGGAATTATTTGTCCACTTCTTGTTTTCCTTCGTTATAATTCCTGGCCAGCGTATATTTATTTTATATCTTACTTTTATATTTCATGATGACTCCTTTTAATTTAAATTTAGGAGTCAGGCCATAGGCTATCCTGTATATTATATATTTATTATTGGCTTTTATTTATATTATCTCTCTTTATATTAAATAAAAGCCATGAAGAAGGAATTAATGGGATGGCAGAATTAATAATAATAAGAGACAATATATGATAATAAATAATTCTGCCATCAATAATAAATATAATGAGCTAGAGATTGACCTAGCAGATAATAATAATTAAAATCTGCTATCATTGAATTATAAGAAGGATTAATAATAATAATCCGCCATTTTCTTTTATGAAAATATAGGCGGAATAATATGATGGATAACTTCCTGGCGGTACATCATCTTTAATCTATCTTACGGTCAACCGCCAGGCCAAGAGCAGGGGGGCCCCAGATCCAAGAAGGGGCCCATCTGTCTCTTCCCTGTGGCACCCAAGTCATGAATCCTAAAGCTGTAAGAAATGTGTACCATCGTGACTTACCTGTAGCAATCATAAGAGACAAAGACAAAAACCTTCATTATAAAAATCCACTATTATAAAATCACTTAATGAATGTGGATTTTTATCTCTCTTATTCTTATTCATTCATTCTCTTATATCACCATTAATTTATATGGTGAGAATGAATAAGAATGACCAACAGCAAGGATGAAATTACCAATCCATTAAATTATTATCTTTCTTATTTATATTTATTGGTAATTTCATCTGGATCACTTTCCTCATCATATTTTGCTCTATTTTTCATTATCTTTTATTAGCAAAATATGATGAATGTACAACCATTAAAAATAAGCTGTCTTAAGATACAAAAGCTTATTTTTATTCATCTATATCTTATTATATTTCTCTTATCTTTTAGCAGCTCATGGAACCTCACAAAGGAAAAAGTAAAAGAGCCAGTAAATATATGAGCTGCTATATTCTCTTCTTATTATTTCTTATTATATGTTTCTTATTGCCATTTAATTTCATTTGTATTTCTTATATAATTAAATGGCAATATAATATCATTTACTTTCATTACGCGATCATATGGTCTATCAATATTTATTTATGGATGATCGCGTTAACATTAATATTTAATATATAATTTTGACCGGCGGGTAACCTCCAAATTGAATAAAAGGGGAGGGAAAAGTTTATGCCGGTCAAAATATGATTAATAATATAATATTTATTCTATATTGGCTTTTATCTATATTCTATCTTCTTAATTGATAAAAGCCAATGGTAAATATAATAATACTGCCGTTTATTTTATATGATGGTTGCTATTTCTTATGAATAAAATAAACGGCAAATATTAATAGATATTATAATATTTATCCGCCAATATTTATTAAGAGAATTATAAAATATATTGGCGGATATGAATAAGATATAATATATATTTTATAATGCCATTTATTAATTCCTTAAGTCATTTTACATATAAATAAATGGCATTATTATCAATCATTAATATTATAGCTTCTGGAAAGGACCGCCAATATATTTTCATAGATTTCTTATCTCCATTTCTTATTATCTTAATGGTGGTCCTATAATATTAAATATGTCTCTTATAATTTCTGGCTTTTGTAATTTCCTAGTTGTTATAGCTTCTGAAAGCCAGAAATTATATCTTCTTTATTTTAATTTACTTTTCATGATCGATTTCTTTAATTTTACTTAGAAATCGAGGTCAATGGGTACGTCAATAGGATTATTTTATTGCCAAAAATCTTATTATAATTATCTTTTATATTTAGTCTATGATTTTTGGCATTATATTAATAGAATAATGATAGAATGACCGATGGCAACTAAGAAATTAATAAAATGAACCATCGGTCAATAAATATATAAGAAATATAAATAATAGATCGCCGGTGGGGCGCCGGTGGTGGAACCGCCGGGGAACGCTGGGCCGAAGAGGCGCCTCTCTTGGGTGTTCGGAAGGTCGATTTTGGTGTGGGGTTTAGATGGGAGAACGATCGCATGGACGGGATGGATGGGTCATGTAGACTCTTGCATTCATTCATAAACCACCCTAGTTGCAGTGGACATCCTCTGGGGAGTTTATGAAAGCAAGACGATCTATATACATATTCATTACACCTGGCACCAATCAGTGGCCTCAGTAATTATTCTAGCCAAAGAGCTGCAGTGTCCTCCCACTTCCCACAGACCAACCGAACTCCCGTCCCTCGCTCACCGCCCGCGCGGAGCGCGCGGATCGCAGATCTGGGGCCCGCGAACATGGCCAAGCGCACCCGTCGGCCATCCAGCTCCTGAGGTTGCATCGGAGGGATTCGGATGGCCAGCCGCCGGGGCGGAGGAGGGAGAGCGTCTTCCGTTTTTCACGGAGGTCCAGGAGGCAAGTTGGAGGGAAGCCTGGAAGGTGGGAACAGAAGACAAGCGCCATGCGCTTCTTTGGAGAGAATCCGATGTTTGGCCATCCATTCGGATTAGTTGTGGGTCTGTGTCAGCCATGCACCGATCAGCATAGCCTGCAACTGGACGACTGGATGTTCGGTTTCATCCCGTATACTTGACCCACTCCATTGACAAGAAGTTTGGGAGGATGGATGCTTAGTGCGGCTGCATGCATCTCACACGTGCTTGGCAGGCGCCACTTAAAGCATTAAAGCTAGGGCACCATGACCATGACGAATCACACGTCTTCATCCAATCGCTACATCTCTGTGGTCTGCCGATGGCTCACATCCGGACGGCCCATTGGGCCGCGGATGATCGGAGACCGCCTCAAACACCTGTTGAGGTCCCATCAGGTTCCTGTGAGATTCGGTTGTATACGGTCACCGGATGTCACCGGAGAACTTGCCGTGAAGTCAACGAAGTGGTTCTTCGTCAACGACCCAGGAGACGTAGACGATAGGTGGGTTGTCCTTGTTTTGGGCTCGTCCATCTATATGACAGGCTTATACAAACATGCAGGTGTATGCCACAGCCCAACAAAAAGCCAAGGGTCGGAGGACATGAAGCTGGGAATGCGCAACGGCAAGGGCACCAGGTCTGACAGCCTCAGCGCGGACGAGGTCGATCCACTTCTGCCACACTGAGGAGGAGGAGTTGTTCGTTTCGAAGCCAAGCTCGAAGGGCCGGGGGGGAAGCACTAAGACACCGTCCAAGTGGAGGCCATTCTTCCTTTGGGTGGGTGCCTTCGTCGCGGTTTCCTTTTTTGGGGGGCTCCGCGGGCGCGTTGGGCGGGACGCGTTCGACGCTTGTGGAGCGGGACACGAGGGCGGCGCTGCATTGCGACCTTTTTTGGGGGGAGTGATGGCCTTCCGAGAGCCCAAGTGATTGGGGGGGTGATTTTTGTGCTCCTCAAACAGCAACCGAGTACCAATCTTGATGTCAGAACGCGGATTCACTTTCAATCCGTTAGTTTCCTGTCTGGAATTCTCAAAACGACGAGGTATCTTAGATCTAAGATAGCTCCACCTCCGTTCCGCTCCACTCTCCCCGAACCACGCCGTCCGACGGAACGTCGTTCAAAAGTCGAGGCCTTCTGCCCTACCGGTCGCCCTCTCGGGCGGGCGGCGTTCTGATCTACAGCACTGGGAGGACGGGTCCCTCACAAAATTCCAGGGAGAGTTGTTTGCCAGGTGTCTTTCCTTGTCTTCACATGGAGTTTAACCATCTTCTCAGTTTTCCAGAGTGACCAGTGACCAAGTCGGGATTGAAACAAAAACTCATCGGCTTTGGGACTGCCAAAGCAGAAGAGTGGCCAAGAGCCCAAACGTGTTTGGGTCGAAGGGTTTGCTTCGACTTGGATGACTGCTGATACAGACTCTTGTGAGCTTCCCAAGATGGGGTCAACATGTCAATTCAAGCAAAGTAGAATCTTTTCCAACTAGACTGGACCGATCTCCAGCAAAGCAGCCATCTGTCTATCAGCTAGGGTCTCCAACCAACCTCTCGCATCTGTTCTTTCAACACAACAAAGAACGCACCAAAAGCCTGGCATCCGGAACCTCTGACGCTTTCCACCTGTGACGCGAGCGTGGCTCGCTCTCACCCTGCTCTGCGACTCTCCCTGCCGCTGCTTCTCTTGTTGGGCTCCGGGATCGAAACGCCCGAGGCCAGCGGACTCAAATGGCGGGCGCACGGGCGGAGCTTTGCTTGGGCCGCGCCTGGACGGAGGTCCATCGGAGAAAGAAGACCGTTGCACCTGACTAGACATGACGAGGTTGCTGGGGGAATTAGAAGTCAACAGATGTCATTACGCATGGGCGGTGGCTTAGAAGCAATTTATGGTCACATGCGTTGCAGTCTAGTCTGGTCAAGTCTCATGCTCTTCTTTCAAGGTGTCCAACTTTGTGGTCACCCTATCATATTTTAATAGACCAACCCTCAGTACATGTGCCAGGTTGTCCCTCCTGTGCCATCGGATGGAAAGCGGGGCGTGTGGATTGGGCGCACTCTTGGCTACTATAGTGATGATCACTTACGGACTGAGGTAGGTGGGGCGAGAACACACGATATGACTGGATCATGACTGGTCCGACCAACCTAGCTGGGACCTGACTCACGTGTGCATCTCAGAAAGTGGACTGAACACCGAAACGAATCTCCGCACCAGCGATTCTGCGTAGTACGCACACTCCCGCTCTTTCTGTCGGTGACTCTACACTTCCCCACCCCCACAACAAATGGAACCTGTTTTTTTCCCCCTAAGAATCAAGGACCCTCAAAGGTGAAGGTTTTGAGGGTCCAAACCCCTGCGAACTGCAGGGTCAAAACCCTCCAGAAGTGGTCGGGTCCAATGACCCTTAGGGTCAAAGAGGCGATTTTTCGCCCCGGAGCTCTGCCGAAGTCACCCCCCACGCCTCACGCCTCACGCCGTCCGTGCCACGCCGGGTCACAACGAGGACTTCAGCGCCACGGGGCTCACGCCCGGCGCGGCCGACGCCGCGGCCGCGGCGAAGTCGCTGGCCATGAGGGCCCCGATCTGGAGCGAGGACGGTTGGATGGGGCGAGTGAGGGCAAGTGATGGCTGGATGAGCGAATGGAGTTCTGTGGAAGGGATGAATGTTTTAGGATGGATGTCAATAGATGGAGGAGACGTAGATGCAGTACTTGGGATCTTGGGAAGTCGTGGAACTCCTGGAGGGAAGTCGTGGACGTCGATTTCTCAGTGATGTCAGTCATTCGTGGGGGTTTTCACATCCGTCTTTCCAAGGGGACATTGATGAAGTGCTTTTGATAGTTGCACTACCATCGCCCACACCCCCACACAACCCCAACGCGGAATGCATGCGTAAGCGCCTTAGTCACCAGAACGACACGATCGACACAATCTCTGTGACCTCACCCCCCTAGCCTTCAGTTCGACCAAAGAATAGTTGACCTGGCAGTGTTGTGTAAAAATTCCGTAAAACTGGTCCTTTGGCAAAGACTCATTAAAACAATGGTCCTGCAGTCATAAGACGGGGTGCTATCCATGGAGGTTACGTGTGCCCCTGTCACATCCACTCACTTGGGGATGTTTCACACCACCCCAACATGTGACTCCTGGCTCGTTCAAATATGTTCGAATCCTCTAGGGACCCAAGTCACCCAAGTCACCCCCCCACGCCGGACAGTCTGCAGACGGGCCTTGTCGCCCATCATGATGCAGGGGCAGTTGGTGTTGCCGCTCACGATCTTCGGCATGAGCCCCGCGTCGCACACCCGCAGCTTCGCCACGCCCTGCACGCGGCCGCCCACATCGCCTCAAATGGCGATAAAGCATGAGCGTGCCCAACGACTCACGCGGGGTGTGACGTGGGTCGCCGAAGGGCCGCCCAGTGGCTTGGATGGAACTTGTTACTATCTTAGGAGACATCCAGAAATCCACCGATACAATGAGCTTCCCACGTTTCATGGATACTGCCACCTACTGCCAAAGCAACAAGCTCCGGCCCGGCTCCTGCCCAGCCTGTCCCCACCCCCCAAGCTCAAATGAAGCTCCTCCGGCTCCTGCCCAGCCTGTCCCCCCACCCAAAAAATCCCTAGCCCGAGTTCCAAGCGACACACCGCCTTGGGATCACCGATGGGTCCCATGGGAGTGGTACAGGAGTAGTGCCAGGTGGTCTGCGCATTGCTGCGGATGTAATTGTCGATCCTCGGATGGGATCGAAGGTACGACGGCGGCAAACGACTGCCTGGAAGTTGCCAACTACCCTGGGGGTATTGTGGAGTCAATGATAAATATGATACATGAAAGTCAATGGGAGTGGATGATCCTGAGTAGTACCCTGCGGCTCCAGTCGTACCTTCGTTTTGAAGGTGGGACTGGCGGTACAAGGAGAGTCCAGTCATGCCTTCTGAGGAGGTACTTAATTAATTGGAGCCCTACGCACAAGAAAACCGCCCCCATCATCCTCCAAAGTTTTGGAGATTGCTTCGACACGTATTGCAATAACTAGTGACTTCCAGGAATTGTCCCTCTATCCTTCCCCAATCAGTTTGACAAAAAGGGTCCGAGACTCACCTCCTACCCTCCTACCCCCCGTACCCCCCCTACCCCCACCGCCCGAAGCCCAGCACCCACCGGGCGTCTCGCTGTCTGGCGCGTCGGAGGCGGGCACCGGCACGGCGCCGGCAGGGTCGAAGTGCTTCGTCATGATGGGGTGCGTCCTCGGCGCTGGGCGGCTCATCGGGGCGCCATGGGGCGGCTGGGTCCGAAGCGGCCAGCCAGCGGCGCTGGGCGGGAGCTCCCGGCGTTTCTGCGAAAGGGGCGCAGGGGGGGGTCGAAGTGGCCCCCGGGTGGAGGCGACGTGCTTCAAGTCCCCCAAATGTGGGGAGACTCGGTGTGGAGACTTGGGTGGTGTTCCGGCCGCCTGTTGCGGCGGTGTGGCAAGCCTGCGAAGGTGTTACGGCGCTGTTGCGGAACTCGGGGAGTTCCTTTTTTGGGGACGCAGCGAAGGAGCGTCTGGTGCGGAACTCAGTAAAACGGGCTTTCAACTAGACAATTCAAGATTATCGTGCATATTCTTGAACTGCTTCTGCTGGGTTGGGGGAGATCATAGACCAACAATCCACCATGCCAAAAATTGATTGTTCACAATCAAAACCAATCAATCAATTGGTTTCAACTCCGGCATGTTGATTTCGCCAACGGGTGTGGTTGATGGATCGGGACCGCTCCTCGCTCCCCTCAAGCCACGCAACCACCACAACGCCCCACACCCGGATGTCCATCACCTAGCTATTGGTGCCTTTCACCTGTCCCAGGCACATGATCGCGCGGATGCGCCGGTAGCCCTGCGACAGATCGGTCGGTGTTCCCGGTGGGAGCGTCAATGCCGTGGCACCGTGGCAGAGTGAGTCCACAGCGGAAGGAGTCTTTCCATTGTGCCTGTGTCCTTTCTTTGCTCGACGTGTTACTTACTAAGCCAACAAAGCTACTGTGCGCGTCAATCAAGCACCAAGGAAAACACATATTATATCATTGTTTCAAGGTCCAATCCATGGCTGTACGCGTTTTTTTTCCTAGGTGGATGAATCCAAGACACTTCCTCCCCAAACCGCTCTCACTTCTCCCCAGCGACCCGGTCGCAGCTTGGCGACGAATCGAACGTGTTGGACCTGCCGATTCTGCCGATCCGAACGGGCTGAACGTACCGCCGCCGGCTGCGGCCGTCACGACGGAGAGCCCCATTTGGAGAGCATCTTGACTGTGGGAGGTCCGAGTTCTTCGACGCCCAGTTCGGAAACCGGCCCTTTTTTCCAGAGGTTTTGGGAACTGAGTGCATGCTGACTTAGCTTGGAGATTTGGGGGTTCCTCCGAATCCCACCGGTTCCCTCCTCCTCAAGGCCTGGATCAAGGCCTTCACATCGTCCGGGTCGGTGAAGTACCTCGCCGCCCGAGCGGGGCGGGCGGGCTTCACAGGCTGTTGGCGTCATGGAAACGTGCCATGGGATGCAGAAAGATCGTTTCAAATGGTCCATCAGCATCCCAATACATTGATCTGCCCTGCAACTGGAGGAGTCAAGGTTGTTGGGACCTGGTCTGGCTCCATCGTCCCAAAAAAGC